TGGACTTGTTTTACGGCTTCATGTCTTAAGCCTGATTAATGCTTCGCCGTCAGCTCCGCAAGGTACAGACACGCACGGATTGATGGAAGCGTTTTGCTCTCATACTTCTCAGTCTCCTGGGGAGTGTTGCAAAGCAATTCCCCGGCAGGACAACTGAGGGCATAACGCTGTTCTGTGGTATCCTGTCGTGTATCCGGTCCAAGATAGTGTGTTTATATTGTGTTGGTTTTAAGAGACTTTTTAACACGGGCAAATTTGTCTCTCTTTCTCCTCCACCTCTTCATGCACCTCTAGACCCACGTTTCCTGTCATTTCCGTCCACAAATAAAATGCTTGCTGTGCATCTTTTCACTCCTCCAGTCGTGACTGAATTTAACGTTCATATTTTCGAGTTTTTTCACGAGGTTCATATTTTAGAGTTTTGTCGCGAGGTATTCTTCAAGCTTCTCCGTGTCTGCCGCTAGGTATCCTCGGCTCTCTTTATGTTTTTGAGGGCGCAATGTCGGCGGTGTAGACAACAGCGGTGTCCTGACCAATCACAAGCTAGCATTCTCCGTCTCGACGGACGGATGGTTAAAAAAGTGGGCTCGACTCCGTATGTACTTGTGTGCCTGCCGGGGCCCTACGCAAGGACGGATAATGGCGTTGCATGTCTCCGTACTGACGCAGACGGAGAAGCATGACTCAGGCTTTAGAAGGAAGTGATCAGCACACGCCGATCATCTGTTCCATCCATCACAGCAGCTGAGTTTAAAGAGCAAGTCACGGCCAAATCAACTTTTATGTGCTGCAGACACGTGCAGTCAACAGTTTTGCACTTTAGTGCATTTTAGTTAAAATAAAAAAATGTCTGCCTAAAGCTGTCAGTGTTGTGCCGTTGTCAGGTAAAAACTCTGCACTGCATTTGAATTTAAATCTGCCATCGCTATTGGCTAAGAGGTACCTTAGAACGTTAGCTGGTACCATATGATGTCACAATGTCATTGTGAGCCTGTGTGTGTGTGTATTTGTTAGCGGCTCCACCCTCGGTCTGCTAGGCAACAGCATTTGTTGCACTTTTCAAACAAGAATTGGGAGTGGAGTAATATTCTGGTAGGGGGTGAACTGCTCTTTAAATATACTACACGTCCCAACCATCGACTTAAATATATGGACAATGGGTTTCCATAGGCTCCAATAACAAGTTTTTCTGCTAAAATGGGAGGTGGCCACCACCGCCATTTTGACCGTGTCACAGGTTCCGTCAAGCCCAGACAATTCCATATAAGGGAAGAGAGGAGGAGCTGAGGGTGGGGCTGTAAGGCTGGGATCGACTGACAACACCCGGTCGAACTAGCTACAAGCTAACCTGAAGCTAACCCAAAGCTAATGTGGAGGAGGGAGCTAAGCTAATGGAGGCAGCAACCTAGCTACAACCGGAGTTAACTGTGCACAACACCAGAGCTTCTGAGTCAGAGATACGCCGGGCTGACCGCTGGGTAAAACCGGGTGGAACACAAGAGGTCTTCGAGACCTCTGTGGAGGTCTCGGAGACCTCCACAAGCCGGCAGCGCACAGCAGACAGGCGCCGCTGCGATCTAAGATGTGCAGAGCTGCCGCTGGGGAGAACCGGGTGGAAAGGTTTCCATCCCAGAGCTCCACAAGCCGTCAGCCTGCAGCAGCTCACAGAAGCCGCGATCAGATAGAGATGTGCTGAGCTGCGGGGAGAAGTGACATATTTTGGCGGTTCTGGCTTGCCATAAGAACCAGCCGTCAGCCCGCGCAGCTAACAGAAGCCGCGATCAGACAGAGATGGACCGGGCTGCGGGGAGGGGATAAGGGTGGAAAACATCGGTCTCCCGAGAGCTCCACAAGCCGATAGTCGGAACCCAGCTCCACCAACATGTTATATTTCAACCCATTTTCTAAAGTGCAACAATATGTTAAATGCACTGGGTTTTACCCTATTACATTTAAATTTCATGGTTAAACAGTACATGTTAAAATCTAAGCTCAGCTCGGCAGTGACCTAAAATACATAAATATAATTTTACTTACCGAAAAAAATGAAGTGGAGACTCGTTGGACGCTCTATTAGTGCAATTAATGCCACAGCAAGTCATTTTGTCCAACAATTGCACAAAAAATATCCAAAGAAGAATACACAAACACAGAGACTCAAAATCCCGGAGCAGTTTCCAAGCCAGACCGAGGCTCTACTGAGGCCTTTCCACGGAGCTAGCTCTGTGGTCACGTGGGTCTGATGCTCATTAATTATACAGAATTTTAGGCTTTTAATACACTTAAACAGAAGAGTGAGAAAAAAAAATTCACCCCCCTCAGAGTTGTCATGAGTGTAAACTAGATCATTTAAACAAAAATGTTTTGGTACCAGGCTGTAAACATGTTTATTTCTGATGTGAAATTGGTATTTTTAACATGGGAGTCAATGAGGACTTGCTCGTTTCTGACACCAGCCCCCAGCGGATGAGGATGGAACTGCAATTTATTTCACTTCCGTTGTCGGTACAGGATCTGCTCGGGTGCAAGATCGGCTCGGGATCCTTCGACTGCCGATGACATCAAAGTACGGCAAACCCACTTGGACAAAATACACTACACATCTTTATACTGTTGGAAAGAATTTAGCAGTTTCGTTATTAAAATAACGTATCTTAAGACGTAAGTTTGTGTTTATAATGGCATTTGTAAAATAAAACACTATATTGTATTCATAATGTTGAACTCCTCTTTGAGCACATCCCTTGAAGGATCATAGGTATTAGCAACCCCTGTGAAATTGTATTTGCAGGAAAGAAGTGTGTCCCGTTTATTGAAGTATTTTGTGTTTAGAGTTTTTGAAGTCTTGTCCATGCGTAGTTCAGGTACGCTCATAGCTGCTAGCCAAAACTCTGGAGTTAAAAGTTTTCTGGCTTTACTAAAATACCTCTCTGTACTTATTTGATTGATGGTGGTTTTACTTTCTATTAGACTCCAAATGTAATCATTTGGTACGCTTCTAATTCATAATTTGTAATAATGTAATCGGTGATATTAGCATTAGCATTCCTATGGGTTTTTCCACGTATATTAGCGTTGCGCTAACCACTCGATGCCAAATTGCAGCCTTTGCGATTAGAAAATCTCCTTTTGTCACATCGCAATTTAATTGCACATGCAGTTAATCTTTCAGCCCTAATATACATGCAGCTCTATGCTAAAAGTGTATTTTCAAAGAGGTAATGATGGATTTCTTTGTAAAAGTTGTCCATCTTTCCAACAGAAAGATTTGCCTGGACCAACGCAACATGATAACAACATAACGTGATTACGTAATTCCGTAAGGTTCATGTTCAGCCAATCAACTACTTTGACGTCATCGGCAGTCGACGGACCCCGAGCCGATCTTGCACCCGAACAGATCTTGTACCGACACCGGGTTTGACTCAATTTCAGAGATGCATTGTGGGGGCCTGGTCCCAACACTCAGATAAATGAAGCTCAGCTGTTTGTAAAACAACTTAAAGCTTTTTTTTTAAATGAAACTGAGTACAAAATTAACAACAATAACATTTTTGTGTGGCTGTAAGCAAGGAGGTGAGATAATTGGTAGTTTATTTTAGCAAAAATATTATTTCTCTCTAAAACCTCCAAATGAACATAACTGGATATTTAGACATTTTAGTTGTCGTGGCTTCTGCTGGGCCAATCAGAGCACTCTGAGCTTTTCAGGCACTTTGTTTAGAAGTAAACAGGAGGGAGAAAACACTCTAATAGTATAAAATGACATCAATCAGAAAAGACCAGATCAACAGGAAACGAGCATCTACTCTGAGCCGTTGACAAAAAAAAAATCTCTGTGAAAATAGAATTTCATGAATGGCAAAAACTTCTAATAGAAAATGTTTTAAATTATCTGTGCAAATTCAGATCATCTATCCCATAAATGTGTTGTAATGTGTTGTATTATAAAAATAAAAAAACCTGATAGTTTCTTATTTTATTGTGTTTAAAAACTTGTAATAATGAGAAAAATGGCAGTTTTATGTTCAGGAGATCTACTCAGAATGAGCGAGGCAGCTGTTCCAGTTGTTGATGTTGAACCTTTGGGATGTACAGGAGCAGCAGCGCCACAACCACCACACTAAAAGTGCCAAAACGGTGCTTGAAGCAACACATCACATTTGCTGGCTCTCTTCTCTGCCGGCTCCGCCATGCACACCCCGTTGCCATGGCAACACAGTGACAGCTCTTCATACCTAAAGGTTATGTTTAGTGTGTTTAGTTCAAATTTAAACCGCCACAGACTTCCCACACAGAGAGAACATGCTATCAGGACGTACACTTCATGCATATCGTTTGTGAATGTTTCAAAGGTTGCAAATGTGAAAAAGCACAAACAGGAAGTCAGCTTTTACTTTGAAAGCTGCACCTGAACTTCAAAGCGGAAGTATCGCTCAGGCTGTTTTCTCCATTGTTTCAAAGTGGAGGACGACCTGTTGAAAGTGTGGAGGAGCATGTTCTTCTGACTTATTACTGCTTCTTAAAAAGACACGAAGAAGACCTCTCTGACTCCATCTTGCTTTGATTCTTCTGGACGCGATTCCAACATCCCACGAGATGTTGGCGTTTCACCCCTTACAGCTTTTTCGTTGTGAAACACATTATTTCCAGAAACCTTCTCATTAGAACGAGAATCATACCACATTTCTACGAGATGGGTTCTCGTTGCAAGTGATGATCCTTAATTTTTTTCCTAATCTTTAATTTAATCCTTAATCTTAACCCTTATTTTTTTCTTCTATAAAATGATGATTCATCTATATCTTTTATTTTCCAGAATAATGCAAGACGTCATCTCTCTACCAAGAAAAATGAATAAAAACAATTAAAATTTAGATAATTCTATTTAATTTATACAAAAAATCTGTAAAAATCTGACAGATTAAGAAACCGCCCTTCTTCAACTCTAAATGGTTAAATCTGTTTTCAGACAGAGGTGGTTCAATAGCACCTCCTACCTGATAGGTGGCGGTAGCATCGCCGCCGGTGTCCGTGCCCAGATTGGTGAGCTTTTCCTTCAGCTTGTGGTGGGAGCGGTTCCGGAGGCAGTAGAGCACGGTGGAGGCCAGCAGCACGCCCACGATGCATAGGATGGACACCACGGTGAGGATGAGGAACTTGGTGGACTCTCCCTGGCTGTATTTGGTGGGAATCTGCTTGATCTGACTTCCCTGTGAGAAACAAATGACCAGAAACAGATGCATTCATGTTCTTTATGTTTCTAATAACTCACATCTGCAGCAGTGTAATAAATACTTTCTCCTCGATCCATTTATTAACGCCATTTTGTCTCAAGTGAGTTGTTCCACAAACGAATCTGGGAAGTGTAGCTCAGAAAATGTCTCTAATCTGTATTAACAGATTAAAATGTTGAACCAAACATATTTTCCAGATGCAGATGCTGCATGTAGTGTGCATAAGTTAAAAAAGGACAATCTAAAATCTAAACAGGTCCTCCCTCTTACATAAAACCAGCTGCTCAGTGAAGAAGAGATTGTTTTATTAGCCGTGTTGAAAATGTCGTTAGCTTGGATGTAAAATCTGATGTGAGCGGGCTTTCAGTCAGACGAGGACCTAATCTGTGAACTCATCTGGCAGCATGTGAGATTGGAACGAGCCTGCAGGCTCTCGGAGCATCATGGCACGGCGTTGGGTACCGCGAGATTAAAGCATCCAGCAAATAGGATAATCTGAATGAACACTTTTTGATACTCATGATTCTCCCAAACAGAAATAAACTACAATCACGATTAAAATGTTAATTACAGGTGCGTTTAGTGTAGTAATGCTGCTTTTTCTGCTGTAATCTGAACAGAAACACTCTGCTGTCCGGCCAATTAAGGCCTCGGCCACAATCTAATCCCATACGTGAGAACCAGATCCTTCAGCAAACAAGCGGAGATGAAAGAATGTCGTTCCCACTCGGCCTGCTGCTGCAGATAACACAAAGAACACCAGCAGTATGATAAAAGCCCGCTCTGCTCCATGAATGTATAAAAACACCTTCACAATCGTTTGAAGAAAGGGGAAGCGAGTCTTTATTGAACGTGTAATTAAGAGCTGCAGCTCCAACGACTGCTCGCTGTTCATTTTCAGATATAATGGGCATTTTTAAGAGTTAACAAAAAGGAAACATAAATCCCTCCCTTCGTTACACACGGCGTAACGTTGTTTACAACAAAGACTCGAGCAAGAACCCAGAAGAGCAGCACAGCCGATGAAGCGTCTGACGATTTGTCTTAAAGAGTTTTCAGCAGAAATCAACTCTTCTCTTCTGGAAACGCGCTATTTCACATCTTCGTTGCACAGAAAAGACTCTTTTCCTGACAAACCCTCACCACAGATCATCTTGGGTTAGCAGTTCGAGTCAATTTTATTGGCAGCGAACAATAAAAATAAAAAAGAGAAGAATCGGATCTTTGGCAGCAGATTTATCCTGAGGAGGAAGGTGTGGGGGTAAAATAGGTCGTAGAGGTCACAGAGATTAGGTGAAGGTGCAGAGATGTGAGTTAATGGAACGGGAGCCTTGAAAGAGGTGAGGAGAAAGGGGGGGTCAGCACAGAGGAACCCCGGGGAGGTGGGACACGCAGAGCTCACAGATTATTGGGGAATTCTTGTGTGGTTTCAGGGTGCAACTCCCTCCCCGCTCTCCCCCTTTCCACTCCTTCCTCGACACCATCGCCACTCAATAATGCAACCGCCCCCTCCCCGACATCACTCCAATCCCTCCTATGATTGCATTCATTACTGCTGCTGCTGCTGCATTCAGCTCCTAATAAAGAGCGGCCGCAGAAAGTCCCACAATGGGGACAACAGTTGTCCCGAGCTTTGTGTGACGTCCAATTTGCTTGGGGAGCTCTAAGCTCTACTGTAAAAGCTGCTTGCATGGTAATGCGACGGGCCTGAAAGCAAACAGTGGGCGTCTGACTGCTATGAAGAATGTTTTCTACGCCTCAAGAATAAAAATCAGAGTAAAGCCGAACAGAAAACAGGAGAATTTTAGTTCCTAAATCTGTTCACATCAGCAGCTTCACGGCTGCACAGGCTCAGTTAGGCACCAGGCGATAGAAGCGATTGTGCTTTTATTGCTGTTTCTATTTCAATAATGTTGCTTTAATGCAAAAGACAGAAAAATCAGCCATTAAAGCCGCATCGTAAAGAAGCGCAGCCCAGCAGCAGCCTGTAAGCGTTGTGGGCTTGGCACGGCCATTAATAATGAATTATTGCTGATTCCACATGCTTCCACTGAAATCACACACACACACACACACACACACACACACACACACACACACACACACACACACACACACACACACACCACCACCACCACCACCATGGATCAAATAACTTCATTTGTCATTTTACTCCATGAGTCGTCTCATTGTTTTGTCAAATGAAGTTTCACGGAGAGCCGTTGCATCTTGCTCAGCCGGTAATGGCCCATAATTCAAAGCT